TATCCCTATAAATTCCATACTCTTACATAAATCACAATTAGAAGATCATGCCTTTAAAGGTGCCTAAAATTGGGGCCAAATCTTATGAAAGCAATTTTATTTTCTTTTTGTTTTTGGACTTTAAAAACAATGATCAAATTTAAGTTTTGTCGAAGTACATTGCTAATAATCGACACTTAAATTGGCACCAAATGTTGATGACCCATGTTTGTTGATAAGGATATCTAATTTCTTTTTATTATTTTGATTGCAATATATATTTTTGTTTGTCAAGGTATGTTCATAGTAACCATAAGAAATGAGGATAGCAAAGTCAATAAGCCACTAGTACGCCATCAATCATTGGGTCTCATATGGCTAATAGGGACCTCGTAGGGGGTTTTTGAAATTATTCATTGAATAATTACAATAACACTTTTTTATGGTGTGTTGCGTGTTAAATAAAAAGATGGTTAAAAAAAATAAAAAGCTATTAAAAAATATGTTCAAAATGTAATTATTTCAAATATTCATATATACATGCATTATTTTTTTTTTCTAAGTGAGAGATTTCAAATTTGAAACCTCTGATTTATACTCCCACTCCCCCAACCACCAAACCCTCCCCTAGGCTTTATTTGGTTAATCACTCTTTGATCTCAATAACAAGCATTTGTTATTTGCCCTAAATGAGTGGCCCGATGAACCGGTGATGTCTTCCATACTTGAATGGATGCTCAATACTCTGTGACATCATCATGACACATTTTGTGTTACATTTATTACCGCCATATTACACATGCTCTAGTCTTCCTAAAGTGAGCAAACAGCTCAATGGCTTGAACCATGCCAGGTTGGGACCAAAAGAATTCCGCAATTATAAACGCTTTTCAATCAATAAATTCCGAAAGGGGAAAAAAATGAGGATTTTCTTTTGCAGCAACTTCCCCTCAGGTCTCGTCATTCTCGTTAACAAGGGGAGCAGCAGACCAACAGAGGAAGAAAAGAGTTCCGGCAAAGAGGAAGATTGTATAGATCCAATTGGCTGTCAGCGAAATATAATATAGCACCGGAAAATCCACAACTGCATCACGAGACGAGAACAATAATATTAGGCAAGCAGAAAAGGAAATCAAAACATCCCGTTTTGCAGATTTTTTTTCTTTTCCCTGTAAGGGCTAGCTATCAGTTTTCCATGCCCACAGCTAATTCAACTGGAAAAATACTGAGCGACAAACTATGCAAAATGATTAAAATTCCAATTTTGTCGCTTGCCATGTTAACAAAGTACAAACCAGGATCTCCACCATACTAGGTGACGCCAAAGCCAGAATCACTTTCCAGAACTCACATAGTATTTTGTGTTACTAGTAAGGATTCCATGGAACTCACAGATGAACTCCAGCCCAACTTTATCAAAGGTACAAGCAGATGAATCCTAACCCACGGTAACAACCATTCTTGGCCAGTGATTATCTTCAAATCATTAACAGAAAGAAATTCCTACTTCTATGCTAATAAAAAAGTAAGCATGCATGGAAAGCATAAGCCATTGCAAGTAAACAATAAAAACCAATTGCAAGGAGCTTTGCTCCAGATGCAGCGAATTAAAATTATTCCATAATTCATCTTGGCAATCACTTCAAGGAAATTCCAACAAATCACAATACCTGCGCTAATAATAAGAACCTCGAGGATTGACAAATCTCAGAAAACACAAGCATCACATCCGATAAATAAGATGGCTGGGTACACTTTAAATATATACAGGTCATTATTCAAAACCACAAAATCAAGTACAACACGCCAATGACTGGATCACTCTACTGAAGACCTTTTATCTTCAACCTCTTAACATTCTGTTGTAGACATACTTGTCCACCTGTGCATCTTCTGCGATTTTAAGTGATGAAACAGCTTGTGCAGCAACAAGACCTGCAGAGATTCCAGCAGTATCCCAACCTCCCTCCACCAGGTATTGTGGATAGAGCTCCCTTCCCATAGGTTCAGATGAAACCATCCATCCCGTGTTCCCCCAGTCACTCCACCCGTATCCATATCTCTGGGTATCAGAAACCCACTCCATATTCTTAAAGGAATAGTTTGATAGGTCTTCATGAGGGACCACAGCTTCCCTACCACCCATAAGGATATCAAAATTGTCACAGCAATCCCACCGGTTCAGCTCTTCATCCTTCTTCATTATAACTTTACATGAGTCATCCGAGTCTTCACCAAGCAGGACATGCAGAGCAACTGCTTCAGCAATTGCAGCGCCTTCTTCATCAAGCCTCTGCTGTTCTTCTTTCTTTTTCTGTTTCTTCTTTTCCAATTCAGAACGAATGGCTGCAGAAGTAGCCAGAGCCTTCTCCAGTCGTCTTTTTTTCTTTTCAGCCTGCTTGATACGATCCAGCTCATCCTTAACTTGCTTCTTCTTCACTTTTCTGACACCAGATGGCAATTTAGCACCTTCCATCTTATCCAAAGAAAACTAAAAACTGTAATTACTGAGCCTACTCGATATTATCTTCTCACTTTGTTTCTCCGTCAAGAAAACTCCCTACAATGTATAAATCATCTCTATAACTACTACCGGTCTATGCCTTCTGTTCTGTATCCTATAAAACTTGAAATCCAAACCAAAGTGATTCCAACCACTAGTATACCTTCACAGTTCTGATAGTCACTACTATACCTACACATACTCAGGTCTGAAAGAATACCTCATTTTGCGCACAGCACAATCCCAAACGGAAACAATAGGAGATAGCATAAGAGAAAATTGGTAAGAACTTGCAGACCTATCCCTTGCCATTCTTCCCAATTTCCCACAGCCTTTGCACTTACCCATCCTGTAAGCAAGGAAGAAATAAAGTGTGCAATCGAACAAACCCACTGCTCCTGTTTGAAGCTAACAAGTTACATGGCCTTCCCTCCTGCAGCATAATTAACAGAGTCAATATACAAGTTGCTTAGCCCTCAATTTCACATTAAGTAGGATGGAAAAAGAACATTAAAACTCCAAGCGCTCACCCCAACCAACTATAGTACATAAAATGTGTGGCCCCTGACTATTCACTTAAAATAGCCAAGGATGATTAATCAAGTTTCACAACAGGCTTTTCTATAAGCCTTGGAGGGGGTCAGATCTACCAATACAATCAATAACAACAAAATCTACAGATCACAAATCAACTAAAGGAATAGCACGTATGAAGATTTGTAAGTCCTAAACCTTTGAGGCCGGAGATAAAACTTGTAACCAGACTGATAACATCAAGAACTTTGGATAAAAATCCATAACCTTTTTACTGCATTTAACGGGTTTTAGGCACAGAAATATAAATATTAAAACACAAAGTCAATCACTCTCCAACTCCATCTCAGTCCGAGCAACGATAAGAACAAGATTTTATTTCATTACCACAAATCTCCAATCAAAATATATCCAGTCCCAAACTTACCCTCCATGAGAAACAATTTATCAGTTCAAGACGGTGCCAACGGATTAACCAATATAAACAGAGTTTTATTTCGATTATGTTGATCGATTAAAAATAATATGCGCAAAAACAGAATCTCACAGCAACTGCAGATCCCAAATTGTTTCAATCCCAATCATTATTTCATAGTAAAACCCCAGATCGGTTGATAATAAATCTACAGAACTGTAGGTAAATCAATTCTACCACATCCTCCCCAAATCCAACAAACACACAGAGTGGAGAAAATAACACACGAAAGAGGAATTAGTCGATTGAGCGAACAAAACCCGCCAATTATACAAACTGAATCACGCTTATGCATTTATAAGCATCAGATCGAAAAAACCCACAAAGGAAAATACCAAAGGAAAAAAAATGCAAACCTGATATTGACGAGGAAAGATGAGAAGGCCCCAGAAGCAATTATCTTAGGCAATCAAGTCGAAATTGCTATTGAAGGAAGTGAAAGTTTCAGGGGTTCACCATTTTTCTTGGGTTGGTTGATTGGATCCGTGGGAACAATTTACTCCTAAAAACTTCTCTATTTCTAAATTCCTATAGCAGTAGTAGAGAGGAGGAGGAGGAGGACTAGACCCCCAGGAGGGATGATTTAATAAAAAGAAAGAAAGATAAAGAAACAGATTGAGAGTACTAAAAACTGATCACATGAGATGAGAATGCCGGTTGGAGGAGGAGACGGGGAAGAGTAGGAGAAGGAAGGGTAGAATCGTCTCAAAGATAATTGGTGGGGACACGTGGCAAAAGGATGAGGGGTGGATCTAGAATTTCCGACCTTTCTTGTGAGGACTCCTCATTACTTCGCTGGTCTATCCATGACACTTGGAACTCCGAAGATGGATAGATGGATAGAATTGAGAAGAAAGAGTGGGGTTGTCTGGGGGCCCATCAGAAGAGACTCACAGCCGTCGGATGATGTTGAAATTTGTTTGACGGTCAAGATGAGAAATCGAATGCGGGGTTGGTTGTGATTTGGATCCATATCTACGTCAGCGACTCGGCATTAACCGCGTCATCCATGGACTTAGGTGATGAGGAGAAATCCCGTTAGGCAACGGAAAATAACTGGGCCAACTCGTCCATCATAAGAACTGTTGGGCTGAAGACTCACCACCCAAAGCTATTTGAACACCCGCATGAAAGGGTAAGACAGGCATCGAGCCCATTTAGATGAGCTTCAATTCAAGGGCTAACCATTAAATCAAGGGTTAGTTATATCTACCTCCCTTGTGGTTTGGCTAAATTACCAGTAGACCTCTCAATGTTTGAAAAATAAATACTCCCTCCGTCCCTTAAAGTCTGTCGCGCTTGGGAAGCAGCGCTTTTTATGCACAGTAAAATCCACTTGTTTTTAAACCCATGGGTTCCAAATTTGCCCTTCACATTCACCGACAGACTCAAGAAATAAATGGGTCAAAGAGGGACCCATCAAAGGCATTCCATTGTTTCGGCTACCAAAAATAAAAGCTCATTTCCTTATCAAAATCTTCTTCATCCAAAGCAAATGGGTCAAAATGGGACCCACCAAAAACCAATCTTTTGTTTCAGCCACAAAAACCGTTTCCTTATCAATTGCTGCCACAGAAACTGTTTCCTTCTTCTAGCAGACATTCATCACCGCCTACTACTAAAATCTTCTCTGATTCTCCGTCGTTAGCCATTCTTCAATTGCTGCAAATTTAAGCTACGATAATTTCTCTGGAATAACTACAAATTCCCTCTTTTCATACTCCATATTCACTTGAAAGTTTTCACCTTTGATTACAATATTGGAGCTCCAATTCAAGAGAGAAGCATTGGAAGGATATGAAGTTGATTGCTAATCCATCGTTGATAACAAATGAGATTAAAAGGTTAGTTAACTGTCTTCTATTCTTTCTTTTTAATGGTTTTTTTCTCTTTTCTCATGTAAGAAAGGCTGGATCTTTTAAACTTTTGTAATGTTTATTTATTGATTATTTTGTCTATAATTTCTTAAAGATTTGCCGCCAAATTATTTACTGAAAATTTGGATTTTGGCGGATTACTCCAAAAATAAGTCTTGAAATGCCTATTTTAAAATATTTAATGGAATTGTACACTGATTTGTACCTCTATATATGCAGTCCGTTTGTTTTGTTTTAACACTCTGTTTCTTTTTTTTTACACCATGTTTCAAAGGTGATTCTTAAAAGAAATATGGATACTTTTAATGATGTTGAAACTAATAATTCTACAAAGAGATTGACTAATCAAGAAAGGCAAATGATTTTTGAAGCTTTATTACAGGAAAGTAATGGCGGTAAATTGAAAAGGGGAACCATCAGGAACATTGCAAGCCTATTTAAAACAAGTGTTAGGACAGTTCAGAGAATTTGGAAGCTAGCAGCAATTACTTCTACAGATGGAAGAGTTGATGTATCACGCAGATTTTCTAAAAGATGCGGAAGAAAACGAGTGGATATTGATTTTACTTTGATCATGGCAATTCCTCTCCGGCGTCGGACAAACATCAGGTCACTTTCCAGTGAAATGAAAGTGTCCAAATCAACCCTTCACCGACGAATTAAAGAAGGTGCTATAAGGCCACACTCAAATGCACTCAAACCACAATTGACAGATCAGAATAAGCAAGTAAGGCTTAACTTTTGCTTGTCAATGCTTGAACCAGAAAGTCTCAACAGCAATCCAACATTTATGAGTATGTTCAATGTTGTGCATATTGATGAAAAGTGGTTTTACATGACTAAAGAATGTGAAAAATATTATCTTCATCCTCAAGAAGAAGAACCTCTTAGGACATGTAAGAGCAAAAAGTTCATTGTGAAAGTTATGTTCCTAGCTGCTGTTGCTCGACCACGTTTTGACTGCTCTGGTAACCCAACATTTGATGGGAAAATTGGGATTTTTCCTTTTGTATTCAAAGAACCAGCAAAGAGGAGTAGTAAAAATCGTATGGCAGGTACATTAGAAACTAAGCCAATATTGTCAGTGACCAAGGAAGTATATAGGAGATGTTTAATTGAACAGGTTTTGCCTGCAATACATGCTAAATGGCCACGGGATGGTGGTAGTGTTACTGAAATTTTGATCCAACAGGATAATGCAAAACCACATATTAATCCCACTGATCCGGTATTTATTGAAGCTGCTTCTAGAGATGGATTTGATATTCACTTGTCATTTCAGCCTCCTAATAGTCCGGACATGAATGTTCTTGACTTGGGATATTTTAGAGCTATACAATCCTTGCAACATCAAGAAGCACCCTTGTCAATTGATGAGCTAATTCTTGCTGTGGAAAAGTCATTTGATGAATTATCAAGTGAAAGTCTAAACAATGTTTTCTTAACATTGCAATCATGTATGGTAGAGGTGATGAAAAATCTTGGGGGAAATAACTATAAAGTGCCACACATTGGGAAGCACCATTTAATGAAAGAAAGTTGTCTTCCACTGCAAATAGAATGTGAAAAAGAACTTGTGAATCAAGCTCTAAGTCATATGCAAGCATGATTATCTTCATTGGACAGGTAAGATTTTATAAAGCTTTTTTTTTTAAAGATTTTTTTATCTCTAATTTCTTGTGTGTATGGTTGTTTAAACTAACTAGTGTTCCTTATTTTCATATTTGTAGGTACTTAAACTTTGCTAATCATGTGTTTTGAACAAAATGGTATGGGTGTTCTAATGTGCAAAATGTACATGTACTCAATGTTCATTTGTCTAGCTATTCTTGTTCACTTTGCTCTGGAGCATCTTTATTTGTTGTTTATCACTTAATTGTGTCCTATCTCATCTTTTGGCAGATGGTTGAAGTCAAGCAATCCAACCCTTTTGATTTTGTGATGCAAGCTTTTGATTGGGCAAAGAATATAGAAGCACTTTTATGTACTAGTGGTTTTTCATTGACTGCTTTTATTTCACTTTACAAGATTTTAGAATAGCTCAGTCAAGTTAGCTTGACGTTAGTAGTAGTAGTGCTGATTTTTGTACAAAAGGGAAAATGTGCAATGCTGAGTGAAGCTATGTACATGTATAAACATTGAAACACTACTTTTGTTGGAGTTTTTGAAACTGTCAATAGCATTATTCTATAAAGGGGAAATAGTGCATATTGGTTTGCATTCTTTTGCTATTTGGTGGTAGAATATCTGTTTTTGCATTTTTGAGTTTTGAAACATTAAAAAAAAAAGAGAGGAACTGACACTTCCATAGACTACGTTTAAATTAAATTTGGTAGTGAGTGTAGTTTTTTTTCTCCAAGTAGAGTAACATGCCTTATTATTTTGCTCATTTAGTTTTTGGGTCAATCTAAAATTATTCACCTATTTTTTACACTATTTTCTTGCTTTCAATATGAATTTATTTTGTGAAAGTTGATCATTCTTAAAAAATTAGTGCGTATGAAAATAATTTAAAAATTGAAAGCTTTCAAAAGAAAATCACTAATTAAATCATCTCGATATTCTATTTCCTGCAAAAAATCGAAATGATCCTCTTGATAACAAAATCAGTTTTCAATTGAAGTTTAAAAGAGCCATGTGCACATTCTTGATGATGAATTTGGCTGGAGTCGGAACTTTGTTGCTGGAGCCGAAAGTCAAATATGGTACAAGTTGGAATATTTGGATGTCCTTTGGGACCACACATCAATTTGTGGGCCAACTAGCACATGCATTATCACACTATTAATGGAGGGCAGAAATGGAAATTCATAGCTTAAAATAGTTTGAAATGTCAAACATGACAAATATTTTGGGACAGCCCAAAAAGGAAAGTATGACACTATCAATGGGACGGAGGGAGTAACAGTTATCCCCTTTAACTAACCACCAGTTTTTGGGCTTGTGACCACCACCAATGCCTTAAGGCTTGGTGGGGTGGGAGGCAAGGTTTGCGTAGTGCACCCGTCTGATCCGATTGTGGTGGTTCAGTCCCCTTCGAATTACCCCAAGACCTCTTCAACCGTACTGAAGTTAAGGATGATTGATGTGAAATTTAAAAATAGTTGATCGAAGAAAGATAATCAAGAAAGACAAAACAAGAGAGAGAGACCAGGAAATAAAAAAAGCTTCACAATAAAAAAAATAGAAGGAAAAAGAAATGGCCTTGAATGGTAGTCCCCAAGCTCCAACAACATGCAAGGTTATTTCAAGTAAAAGCCCTAGCTTCCAACCAATTTATTGTTTTTTTTTTTTGGCAATTCAAGATCAATCTTATGTAACTCTTCCTAACAGTGCCTCCAATCACAGGCATTTTTTCCTTCAAAAAAAAAAATCACAGGCATTTTGTCGATACGAAGTATAAGCCATAAAAATAAATATATATATATATATATATATATATATATATATATATATATATATATAGCAATCATGATGTCAAGATCGAGTCTGGGTCTTCAAATCTGGGGCGTCTAAAAAGATGAATTTCTCTGTATTGCATTTGCCAATTGAAAAAAAATCCAATGGAATTATTTGTCAAAATTCATTTGTTTGCGTCATCAACATATTTTTTAATTATTTTTTTATTTCATATACATTACACTAAAAAAAATACTATAATTTTTTCATCATCGAATGAGATATAAGATTTGAACTTTTGACCTTCCACCTATCAAATTTTAAGGAGTTGGTGGTGGCCTCAGTAGCAAATGATTCAAACCTTAACGAACCAACTGCTACCTTTTTAGAGGGAACAAAATAAATGCAGTAAATTTCAGTTTCCGATCGCAGCCCTTCTGGCCTTTGTGCAGTTTCCCACCATGTAACATGTTCTTCTTCTTCTTCTTCTACCTCTATTCATTTCTGGCCCTTAAAACTCACTCTCTCTCTCTCTCTCTCTCTCTCTCTCTCTCTCAGAAGCAACCGTCAAAACCAAAATGGTATCTCTACAGCCGCCGCTAACAAACTCCAACACTCTATTCTACTCCACTCTGACCCCTCCCAACCCATTTCATTATTTTCCCAACCTCTACCCTAAAACCCTAAATCCCCCTCCCCCGCCACTAAAGCCACCCTACTCCCTCCCAAAAATCCAATCCATCCTCCAATATAACCGCAAGCCCCAGCTCGCCGGCGACACCCCACGAGTCGTCGTCATCACCTCTGGTAAAGGAGGAGTCGGCAAGACCACCACTACCGCCAATGTCGGCCTTTCACTAGCCCGCCTCGGCTTCTCTGTTGTGGCCATTGACGCCGACGTCGGCCTCCGCAACCTCGACCTCCTCCTCGGCCTCGAAAACCGCGTTAATTACACCGTCGTCGAGGTCCTCAACGGCGATTGCCGCCTCGACCAAGCCTTGGTGAGAGACAAGCGCTGGTCCAACTTTGAACTCCTCTGCATTTCCAAACCCAGATCCAAATTGCCCCTTGGCTTCGGCGGCAAAGCCCTCACTTGGCTGGTCGAAGCCTTGAAGGATCGCGAGGAAGGCGTCCCGGATTTTATCCTCATCGACTGCCCAGCTGGCATTGATGCCGGGTTCATTACGGCCATTACCCCTGCGAACGAGGCAGTTTTAGTGACCACCCCCGATATTACTAGCCTTCGGGATGCCGATAGGGTGACTGGGCTGCTGGAATGCGACGGAATAAGGGATATTAAGATGATTGTGAACCGGGTTCGAACGGATATGATCAAGGGGGAGGATATGATGTCGGTATTGGATGTGCAGGAGATGCTGGGATTGGCATTATTAGGGGTGATTCCGGAGGACTCGGAGGTGATTAGAAGCACTAATAGAGGGTACCCGTTGGTGCTGAACAAGCCGCCCACGTTGGCTGGGCTGGCTTTTGAGCAGGCGGCGTGGAGGTTGGTCGAGCAGGATAGCATGAAAGCTGTTATGGTGGAGGAGGAGCCCAAGAAACGCGGTTGGTTCTCATTTTTCGGAGGCTAGAAACTGCAAAAACTTTTGCCATTTGTGAGTAGAAATGAGTTAGGGGTGGTTCTTTTGGGAAGACAACACGAGGTTGATTTTTGTACTTTGTTAGCAGATTTTGACAGGGAGATGAATTTTCTCATAATGTGTATAGTTCTTTTAGGGAAAGCTTCTGCAGTTGTTTTCACGACGAAAATTGGAATTTGGGTGATCAGTCCAAATGCATTTGTATTGCAATAACCTCCAGAAATGCTTACAAGTTTTTTGTGCATCAGGCCATAAATCAGGCTGGAATTCAAGACTTGTAGATCATGAAAGGAAAAAAAAAAAAAAGGAAGTAATCTTGAGTCGATTAACGAGGTTGCTTATTTCTTACTGTTATCAAGCCTGTCGTGGACATTTTTAAGCCGGTCCTCATCATGATGGCGGTCGAGATGTTTCTGCAAGCACTGTCAGAGTGTTAAACCATAAATTCGTGTACTTTGCAATCAAAACTAGAGAACCTCTGAAATTGAGCCCAATCACAAATTTACCTTAGAAGTACTAATTACACACAAGCGTCAAGTAATAGCGTGAATTATTGTACATCTACATAAATTATCCTAGCACTTGTGGCTATAAACATGTAAATGCCTGTTTTTGGCCCCTTCTATCTGGTTCACAGCCTGGGCAAAGAATGCAGATGTTTTTTGGACCCTTCTATCTTTTTTGCGGCCAATGTGCACTTAACTTGGGCAAACAAGGCAGATAAACCTGTAGTCTCGATGAGCTGGAAAACTGGAAACCATAAAGTTCCATGGCTTTCCTTTATCCTTAAATTAATTTCTGCTTGAAAAGCTTTTCTTTTCAACTGCAGAATCGTTCCCAGTGATTTTGCACTTGGTTCTGTTGATGCTATCATCCGGCCTCTCCACCTAGGAAACTGACTTCCTTGCGAACTCATCCGCTTGCCATAGGTGACATATTGCGCTGCCGTATCTTGCAATTGCAGTTGCCAAGAACGACTTTTTTTGGCCCACTGCAGTAACATCTCCTATCCATATAAACAACTTCCTCAATAATGGCAGATTGACAGAAGTTGAAATTTTCTCTGATTTTGTCCCTAAAACTATAACTCCTCACACAAATTTTGCAGACCTGCTCCTAATGTCAGGATAACTACATCACGATCAGGATCAGCGTTTATTGCGACCAGCAACCTCCTGACCACATCTGTCTGGCAAAGAACCATAGAGATGTAAAAGATATCAAGCGGAAACTTGAGAAGAAGACAAAGCATATATGTACATCCCTTAGTGAGCCTAAAATTTAGAGTTTGTAAATACTGATGATAATATTTGGCACTTGACTGTCAATAGATAGAGGGTCAATTTAGAGAGAGAACCCTAGCAGAAGCTTTTATTAGATATTAAAGTTTTTGGCAACAATGCTTACATGACAATATGGCCTTACAAGGTTCCACCAATTTTTCCCTGATTTCCTGTACTGGTTTGTGGAAGGTATTGTCATGAAAGAATAAATTTCATCTCACCAGGGAAAGGATGAATTCAGCTGATAAACCAACAATTGATGCTGCCAGATCTCTACCAGTAACATTCCAAAGATTGGACCTTGGTTTCTCAGGCTGCATATATCTTGGTATCATAGGTAAAGGAATTAATGGCCTTCAAAGTTGGGAGCTTGAAAAGATAATTTGCACCGTCAAATTCATACCTTGACATATGTAAAATAATATCACCAAACTCGAACCAAGCAACTAAATGTACGGAAACAAATTTGGCCGCAATAGAAGAGTATGAACACCCCACCATAACAAGTCTAGTAACCTTCCAACACACACCATGACATTGATATCAATCACTCAGCGTAGTTTTGCAGTGATTTTTCCTTTGAGAATACAGATACCGATTGTTGGCCATCTAAAGATCTCATGTTGCCATTGGACATGATTAAATATGCATGCACTTAATATATGAAGATATATATTCTTTACTTGATGCGTTTAAATGTTTTGACTCACCGCAAATGAATTAAGAACATTGTGAACTCCTGGTACTTTGTAGGCTGATGTCTGCAACAGGACGCCCTCTATAACACTGCAACAGGACGCCCTCTGCAACAGGTCAGATTATAGTTTCTTAAGCCCTTGGAAAAGCCATCTCGCTGTAGAATTGGGTCAAATCATTTAGCAATCAAATTTGAACTTGAGAAAGTAAGATACTATCTGGAAGTGCACATTCCTAAGACAAT